ACTGATTTTTTGGAAACTTAGATTGCTCAGATGCTTGATTATTTTGTCATTTTTATTTTTTGCTCCAATGTGATAATATATTCTTTAAGAACACGAAGACAATGACTATATTCTACCTTCAACTTTAAAAATCATGTTTGTTTTTTCAGATTAATAAACCGTTTTTGTCTGTAATTTATTGAAACGTCAAAGCCTTTACAGGTCAGTCAAAATTCTTACCAACTTCACACTACCAATCTGACAAAAATTACTCTTAATATGTAAAGAATATTTTTTTCCATTAGACGGCGATCGTTTAAATTTCAAAGGACAAGTATCTGGCTAGTGTTAATTTTTAGTCAACTATGGTTTCAGAGAATAAAACTCATTGTATAAGTCCTAGCAAAGATCACAGAACTTTTATTACCATAGAACGTCGTCAAATGTACACCCAGACAACTCTAGTCATGTTATATAGTACAGGGCTTTCATAAATGATTCTAAGGGCGTAGTTGGCCATGGATTTCAAAAATGCCGCTTTGCTGAAATTGTCTCATTTGACAGTTCTCACTTGTCATTGTGCTTGTCATTTGTAACCTGTCACCAAAGTCATTTAATAGATAAATGAATAGATAGTTCTCTATTAACTAACCTTGCCTGTCACTTAAAATCATCGCTTTTATTGTTCTACCACTTTCCAAGTGTGATTTACAGTAATTCTCGTTGATCCAAGTTTAAAACAACAAAATAGCCTTTCTCAAGGCTCTTGGTGCTTGCGTGCGAAAACTTTGTGCTCGAAGCGAAGACCGTGAAAATGGTTTATTTATTCGTAGACGGAGCGTGGCTGTATTCTGTAGCCGCTTGTAAGCAAGAATATCTGGCCAATTACCCTGATTTGGAAATTCAAGAAACATCATTAGAGGCTCACATTAGAGATGTCATCAACAGATTTGTTCGCACTGGCAATGTCAACAAAGGGATATCTTCTGGGAGACCTGCAGTATCTGAGGAAGTTGTTGATGATTTGAGAGAAAGACTCGAGCAGAATCCCCAAACATCTTTGACAAGATTATCTCAACAGTCAGGAGTTCCCGTAACCACATGTCACAAAGTAGTGAAAAAACGATTGCATATGCATCCTTACAAAATAACTACTGTGCAACAACTTTTACCAATAGATCCTCCACGCCGCGTAGAATATTGCAATTGGTTTCAGAATACTTTTCATGATGACGGGTTACTGGACCTTACATTTTTTAGTGATGAAGCATGGTTTCATTTAGGTATCTGGCTATGTCAATTCGCAAAATTTTAGAATTTGGTCCGCGGAAAATCCACATGTTTTTGTAGAGACGCCTCTTCATCCTTTAAAAATTGGAGTATGGTTGGCAGTTTCTCGTAGACGAATATATGGACCTATTTTCTTTCATGATACTATGACTGGAGAGAGGTATAGGCAACAGATTTTGGAACCATTTATTCAACAACTTGATGACGAAGAGCTGCAGTTAGGGTACTTTCAACAGGACGGCGCGACTGCACACACTGCACGTGCTACATTGGAATATTTACAACAACATTATGACGATCGTGTAATAAGTTTAGGAGTGCAGCATGCATTTCCACCACGTTCCCCAGATCTTACGCCATTGGACTTTTCAATATTTGGATATTTGAAAGACAAAGTGTTTCAACCGCAAATGAATAACTTGGCAGAGTTGCAACATGAAATTGAACGATGGGTTCAAAGCATTGATGGAAGGATGTTGCAGAACATTTTTGAAAGTAAGAAAAAGAGAGTGAATATGTGCCTTGAACTAAATGGTGAACATTTTCAACATTTACTGTGATGTTTAACCACAATAAATTTGTTTGTTTATTCCATTATGAATTATTTTTATTTTTAACAACAAATTGACTATCAAGAATGTTGGAGTTCCGCGCATGAGGGTAACAAATTACGCCCGCGTAATTTCAAATGTTCAAATTCTATGTGGGTGACCTAATTTTGCATTGAAACGAATCTGTACACAAAAAAAAACAACAAAAATCAAAAACTAGTCTTTAAAATTAGCAACGAAAGTATATTTTGAAGCTTGATACTTAAAATGAAATCACACTACGTTCTAAATACCTATTTATTATGTACAATAAAATTTTTGATAGAACTGAATGAAATCTCAAACCGTAAAAACTCTGATTATCCGTGTCCGTTCACCCATCTGGTGGTCCTTGATTTTATATGACTCTACGATGAGGGTTTAGAAGCTACCCAGCAGTCAAAGTTATATTTGGATTTTTATCTTTTACGTTTATACATTTTCGTTGAATATGTACTTTTGTGGCGGGAAGTGAAATATTAATTTTGTAATATACTATTGTTTTGTGGCTAATTAAAGAATTTCGTGTAATTTTTATGAAAAGGACAATGGACAGATAAAGTTCTATTATTTTATTAAGTAAAAACAAGCACTAGACATGACAAAACATATTTCAGTATGAGCATCCAAAAGTTTGAAGTGTTAACAAAATGTGCTTATTGTGTGAAATAATTTCAAGTACAAATCGACATCTAAGATATTTTCACGGCGACAATTTCAAAAATATTAAAAACTAGCAGAATAATTTGTCCGCTATGCTTTGAAAACTTTCAGCGTTTTCACTTATTAACGAATCATTTCAACATCGTTTATAACATTGAGTTGGAAGTAAAGGATCTACAATTTAAGAAAACGGAAGATTTTTTTTACACGAAAAGCAGATTTAGAGTTAAAAACTGATTCTTTTATATGACGAATTATTATTTTCTACTAGGAATGTCAGAAGTAATCTAGCAAATTCTGTTAGTAAATGTAATATACGAGCTCCTAAAATTAGTGGCAGTATCAAAATGCAAGGAGTCTGTCCTTCACGAATTACAGCTCACTTTGATCATTCTTCCTCAGTGGTACTTGTTCAGTTTATTGCTATTCATGTTGTTCATCACAATGATCTTCGCTGTCAACCTCTGACTACAAAAGAAACGACATATCTAGTTGAACAAATTCGCACTGGTGTAACACACGAAAAAATAATTGAAACTGTTAAAAATCTAGAACTCAGTTCATGTACCAGATTTAATCTTCTGACTATGAAAGACATTCCCCACATTGCAGAAAAAATAATATATCTGGTAAATGAAGTAAGGAAAATCTTGTTGTGCATCAGAACATGAAAAATTGCACAAAAATGACTGCATTAGCTTCCATGTACAGTGGGCTGGAGTATATGTTAAAAAAATATGGCGCCAAAATCATTTGTGTAGATGGCACACATGGGACAAACCTCTATGACATTGAATTGACCACAAGTCCATGTGTTAGATGATAAAAATATTGATTATCCAGTAACATTTATTCTGTCCAACTGAAAGGACACCAACATATAAGAGGTTCTGGCTGGTGAAATAAAATCATTAATATCGGTTTTGGTACCCAATTATTTCATGACAGATGATATTTACAGCTACATATTGGAATGCCTGGAACGATAAATCAGATTCTTACAAAATTAGATTACGTATTAAAAGAAACAGATGAAAATAAATTTATAAGACTGAAGCAAGAGCTGATTAAATTTTTGGTAAAAAGTAAATTTGTGAATTATTTAAACACTTACTACTTTCAAAATAAAGAGCGCATGAAGTCATGGCCCCAGTGTTATCAAAAGAACGCAGGCATTAACACCAACATGCACGCCAAATCTTTGCACAGATCTTTGAAATACAAATATTTTGGTGGTAAACCAATAGAGGGCTGGAAACATATTTAGACACTTTGAAGAAACTACTGAAGGATACATCTTGGTCAAGAATTTCATCTACTTTATGACTTACAGCTATTCACCATGACCTTTTGGCCAGTAAGTCCCATAAACTTGCCACCCAGATAAGTTTTGATAATGTAGCTAAAGAATCTGCTGTAAAACACTTAATGCACTCACAAACCAAAACTAACTTTCATGAAGTAGAACTGATGGATAGGAAATGTAGTTATCAGACATTAAAATGCGTTGTTTATCAAATTTGTATACACCATTAAAGATACTCTTGCTCTGAGTTCTTAATCAAAAATCATCTTTCTAAGCACATGCATCTGGTGTCCATGTATATAAAGGCATATTTAACCACCAAAGGCCCTTGGTCCCACTGGTCATCAATGCGCCTTCAACTTCTGAAAAACAGTTTGAAAATGAACTACATTTGCGCTTATCTAACTCCGTAACATCGCGCAGAACACGCGCTTCTCGATTTCGCACAAACTGTTTGTGCAAAGCTCTTCTACAGCATCTTTTGATCACGTTCCTCATCTTCAAATGTTATGCAAATGCTTCCTTTTGCCACAAAAATTTGTTAAATTTCGCATTCGTGCATTCTTTAATTGCAGCCGTTGCTAACATAACCTAACTTTTTATGGTCACCAACGCGTGCTAACTTTTTGAAAGGACACACGGGCGCTTCGCCTCCTGCACTTCATTACAAATATACTCCTAAACGTGGAACTTCTTTTTCCGTGGATGATTTAGTTATTGGAATTTGTGCGTGTGTATATCAACAGCCAACCAAAAATTTCACTTGTTATCGCCAGTATCGCCTTGTTATGTTAGTCACATGTGTATTGACGCATGCGTTTTCGATATTTAATCATGAAGCATTTAGGCAACCAGTTATACAGATGCATGTGGTGCTTGTCGTGCCCAAGGACACATTTAGTAAAGTACACATAAAGCGAAAGGCGGCACACATCCATAACCTACTACGACCCTATAATCATTTATGAAAACCCTGTACATATTATTCGCTTTATTCTATGGTAAAACAGTGAAAAAAAAAAAGATCAAACTGTTATGCATTCCTTTAGACTTTTAAGTCATGTTTTCAACACAGAGACTACATAAAACGTTGAAATTTATATTAAGCACTCTTAGCCAATCACAATACTTACCACTGAATGAACTAAACACACAAGTAATAACAACAGAAATAAAATTACAAATGCAACTCGTCTTTTATTTTATCCCAACAATATTTTTTTAAAATCTTCTGAAACGTGCTATAAATAGGAAATAAATACAATTGGCACGCTCAATTGGTCCTATTCGATGTGCACTTCTCTATATGTACAAAAACATATAAACGGTAACAATAAAAAACTGCTAGAAACTAAGTACCAAGTACCCTAACCTGAGTTTTAAAAAATACAAAAATAAAAACTAATAAATTTATCACGATTTCATTTGAAAAGAGAGACAACAGAGATCTAGAAACTAAATCTGTTGATAGCACTTAGGCACAACTGACTCAGTTCCCCAATCCATCCCTTTTCGACAACATTATTTTGATTACAATATTGCTTAAAAAACAAATGCCCTAGCTATCTTTCTCGATCAAATCGGCGTGTTCCAACGAATCCAGAGTATCGTTCGAACTAGAGTGCGTCAAATCTGTCAATTCGTCGAGGTGCTTTTGCCTCTTCCGAACGTTCCAATGCAGACACTCAGCCAATGAATCGAACCAGTCCGAAATCTGGTCTTGTGCGCAAATACTTGGAACTGGGTAAATAGACGTTGTCACCCTCAGACTGCGGAAACAACAAAAATAAGTAAAAGTTAGATAAATTATAGTAGCCCACATTTACTAAGGTTATATAATTGTTATAGACATTAATCGTGGCATTGGAGGTGTCTTCGGCACTTAGATTAATGCCAGGTAAGGTGATTGTCATACTGATGTAACTGCACCTGTGGGGATCTAGAGCATCCGGATAACTTTAGATTGAGACACTGGTGGGCCCAAACATATCAGGTGCTACTTTGGGCAATGGGAAGCCTTAAATTGTCTTCAGCTTCAGCGGGTAACAGCACTTAAATAAATTTGAACCCTACACGACCTTAGAAAATGTGGGCTACTAGACATGAATTAAGAACGCAGACACTACCACCATCACCATTGCTAAGCGCCCCGTTCTAAGCACAAAAAACTAAAAACACACCTATCACCAGATTTTAGTTCCTGGTGGTGTCTCCCATCGAAGCAAACGTACGCCGAACTTCGCGCTTCCGAACTAGGCGTTATCTGTAAAAAAAGTCTATTCACGCAAACATCAAAAACAGGGGTGAAGTTGCAACGGTGGTGATGGTAGGTCGACTTCCCACTAACCTACCTGTCACCATGCAAAAGTTCTTGGCGATTTCGGCCATCGAACGAAACCCACGACGTGTTCCGACTATCGGGCGAGACCGATATCTAAATTTTCACAAAAATGAAACGTTATCATCTACCTCCGCTTCGTTCATCTCACGTCAAACGCTACACCAATCACAAAATGCCTCACCTTTAACTCCACACCGGCCGGCACCACGATTGGTCTAAAACTCAACGAGTGCGGGCAAATGGGCGTGACCATGATCGCCGGCACGCTCGGGTGTATCATCGACGCCCCAGCGGCTACCGCGTAGGCTGTGCTTCCAGTGGGCGTACTGACAATCAAGCCGTCTCCCTGCACCGAAGTGATGTGCTTCCCGTCCAAAAACAAATCGATGTTTGACAGGTAAGGCGAAGGGCCTCTGTCAACGACCACCTCGTTCAGAACCAACAGGTTTGTCGGTTGTTTGGTGCTTTTTTTCTCGTCGTCGCCTTTCCTCATCACGATGCAGCGAAGGCGGCTTCGCAGGGTTAAGGCGGCGTTGCCTTCCAAGACGTTGTTCACTTGTTCTTGAAAGTTGTCGAATTGGAAAGGGGTTAAAAATCCCAGGGAGCCTAAGTGGAACGCCATTACTGGTGGTACTGATTGTTGAAAGAGGTGACTGGCGTAGAGAAGGGTACCGTCACCGCCCAGGCAAATGATGAAGTCTATTTTGTCGGTCAGGTCGTCTTTGCCGTCGCGGAACGTCATGAGTTTGTCTTTGATTGTGGTGAAGGCGTTGTATTGGTCTAGGAGGGGTTCGTCGAGGACGGCTGCTTCGACAAAGACCAGCATTCGTTTCTCCTGATGAGAAAAATTAAACATGTTATGGATGTATACATATATTCTTATTATTATCATTAACAAATTAACATTTGAAGTGCGATTGAAACCGACGGTGAATCTAAAATTGCCAAATCCACAGGAAGAGGGATTTCCATATTCGAAGGATATTCCATTACTATCAATGATACGAAACCACATAGAACTTTTCTACTGTCGATCCACGTAAAAAGTAATTTCCATGTTCAAGTGGTATTGTTCTACTAGTCAGGAGGAGGTGCGTGGCCTCGTGCGTTCAAAGGTCCAAGGCAATGGTGATCCAAAACTGGCGCATCCACGGAAAAAAGGATTTCCGCATTTTGAGATATGTTTAACACTCATTAAAACTGATTTACGTTCATTTTTTTCGAGCGCCATTTTTAGACAATTAATAAAACTTGACATAATTTTGTCCGCAACCAATGGGTAGCTTTATTTTTAATTTAATATTTATTATCTTTAAAAAATTGACCCAAGGTTAGTTAGACAGAACTTCCATATCCAGTTTTTTGAAAAAATTATAAAATTTGATTTTGAGAATTTATTGTTTTTTGACAACCCCTATAAGTTAAAATAAAGATACGAGTGTAGTGTTAAACGTAAATGTAAAAAAATATGTCATGCGTATGTTTCAAGTGAATGTCCCCATTACAAAAAACAACATTTTAGCAAGGACACGTTTATCAATTTAGGTGGGTATAGTGTATTACTAATAATAACAGCACTGTATTTCCAAATTTTCGAGACAATGGGGTGAGCTGTTATTGATTTGAGCAGTAAAACAAATTGTCTCATTGATTAATTTTTTTGAGTTACCCTGTATAAGTAATTCTAAAAAATATTAATGAAACATCAAGTAGAGACTCGTAATAACTTTGAGATAACGTCGTACACTTTGTGGGGGGGGGGGGGGGGGGGGGATAAACATAAAAATTTTGATTAACAATTTATCACGCTGACGGTTACCTTAAAATATTTGCAAGAACTCAGAGCATTCGGTTTAGCGGTTTCCAAGTTAAACTGAAAAATGTTATCCAATTTTGATTTTTTTTCCTAAAGTCTAGAAGTCTAGAGTAAAAAATGAATACGGATTCATAGACCATAATGTAGGAGCATGTTATTTTTAAAATTAAAAAAACTGGTCAAAGGTTATTTCCAAAGAACTTCCCTCGCTCTTGAGTATAATCCGACAAATCCTCTATAAAGTAAAAACCAGCTGCATAAATAACACCCCCACAGCCTCAGCGCCGTACGAACAATGCAAAATCTATTTAAAGCATATAATAACCAAGGAGAAAAATTGTCCACTAAGCACCAATAACAAGCTTAATTTCAAGTGTTTATGTTTATCATCGAAAGAATGTCACGAAGAAATTAGTTTGATTTGAATAAATTGTTGAACAAAATGGTTTGAATATTATTAGTTCTTATTTTTATCAACATTAAATAAAGACGTGTGTATTATCACATTTTCGAGAAAATTGAGTAACTCGTTCTTAATTTAAACAATAAAAAATTTGTGATGATATCGTCGACATAGATAATACTAGTCATTGGGCAAAAGAAAAAAAATCGGCCACGTTTGGCATCGAACGTGCGACCGCCGGTCTACATGCTGAGATCTTAGCTACAAGCCATGAACGATTATATCCTGAGTTACTGGTACAATGTTATTATACTCTGTTAATTTTTTTGCGAACATTTGGACGTTTATGGAAAAAATCCAAAGCAGATTCGTGCACCAAAAATATAGGAGTATATTTATCTACAACATTTAAATGATTTTAAAATAAAATTCTTTGAAATGACGTCATTAAATTGTTGGTGGAGATGATTGACAAAAATTTTGGTTAGCGATTTACTATTTACATGATATTATTTACATTTTAGAACCTAACACTGACTCTAGTGTTTTCAAATTAAAGAAAAAAAATTGGTCGACGGTTATTTCGACAGAGTTTCCCTCGCTCCAGGAGGGTAAATTCCAAATGGGGACAAATCGGACAATATGAAATAGACTTAAAGCAGATAATCATTGGTAAACAATGTATTCTTAATTCCTAGTACTTGTTTGACTTTAATTGTTTTGTTCATGTTTATGTTTCGAAAGAATTCGACCATTAGCATGTCATATCGTATCAGCGCCGGTATTAAAGTACGTAACGGGGGCATTGAATGCATGCATATGTATTAAAAGAAACTGACATTTGATTGATTTGTCTCTTCAACACAAAAGAGAGGACCAATCAATTAAGTAAGCATACTCGTTTTTTTTTGTCGAAAAAGTATACCTAGATAATAGCACCGTGTATAAGCAAATCTAAAAAATATGAATGCAATGATAAATTACAAGTATGGACTGATCATATGTTGCATATTTTAGATAGGATTTATTCGGCAAAATTTTGATACGACGTCATCAATTTTTGGGGTCGATACAAAGATACATTTTGATCAAAAAGTTACCATGTTTACAACAAGATTTCAAAGTAATCCGTTTTGCAATTTTTGATTTAATGGATAAAATAAATTGACCGATTCATTATTTTTTTTAGTCACCCTGTATAAGAAAATATAAAAAATATGAATGCAATGATAAATTACAAGTGTAGACTGATCATATTTTGCACATTTAAGATAGGATTTATTCAGCAAAATTTTGAGGTGACGTCATCCATTTTTTAGGGGAGATGAGCAAATACATGTTTATGATAATTTTTAAATATCTCCAAGATTTCAAAGCATTCGGGTTTGCAGTTCTTGATTAAATCAATAAAATAAATTTACGCATTCATTAATTTTATTGAGTCACCCTGTATAAGCAAATCCAAAAAATATGAATGGAATGATGAATCACAAATATAGACTCACCATATTTTATCAATTTAGATAGTATTTATTCGATCAAATTTTAAGCTGCCGTCATCAATTTTTTGGAGGGGATAATAAGAATTTATTATGCTTATCATAACTTTAAAATATCTGCAACATTTTAAAGCATTTGGTTTTGCGGATTCGAAATTAAATTGTAAAATGTTGTTTCATAATTTTGATTTTTTTTCAAAAAATCTGGACGTTTCGGGTAAAAACTCAACACGGCGTCATAAACTACATGTGTAGGACTATGTGATTTTATACAATTTCAAACCCATTTACTATGTACAATTTTGAAGTGACGTCATCACATTGTGGGGATGATTGGACAAATTTTGGTTACCGTTTTACCATCTACTTATGTGATATTCCTAATATAAATACAAGATTTGACAATAATTGGCCCAGTACTTTCCGAAATTATCTGTCCAATAAAAATCCCGAACGGCAGACAGACGGACAGACGGACATACAGACAGACAGACGGAAACGGGAGATCTATTTCTTCGTATTATAGGGGTCATGAAAGGTCGAGAAAACGTAAAAGTAGAGAGTCGACCGACGCACTCGATTACAATACTTCCTTTGCTTATGCTCGGGAAGTAAAAATCAACAATTCAAGAAAAGTTATTCGTAGTGGTTGTCGAATGATATGTTGAGTGCGATTGTATGAAATAATGGCTCCAAAGATGCGTAAGTTGCGCAAAAAAATAATCCTTTTTACTTCCTGAGCGTAGGCTAAATAGTGTAATAGTGTCTGTCTATCCAGCGAATGGCTACTTTCATGTTTTCTCGACGTTTCATCACCCCTAGAGTATAAAACAAAGGTCTTCCCTTTCCGCCCGTCTGTCAATTTTTATTAGACATACTCTTTCTAAAACTATCGGACCGATTGTTGTAAGATTTTATATCTGATTTAAGAATATCGTATGTGTAGATGGTAAAACGTTAATCAAAATTTATCTAATCGCCCCCACTAATGTCCCTTCATCATTTTGCACTGTAAAGGTTATCTAGTTTTATACAATAATATACTCCTGTATTCGTGGTTTATGAATCCGCCTTGAGTTTAACACAATTATTTTACAAAAAAAAATTGTGCAATATTTTCCATGTAGCTCATGCACCAAATAAATCGTTGCCTAGTTGGTTAAGTGGCAGATTGTTGGGCTTTGGCTCTGCCGTGTAGGTTCGAATCTCATCCTCATTGATTTTTTTAAACTGTAACTGGTATTATCTATATTTTTTGCTTATAAGGGCAATCATAAAATAAAATTTTGTAAAATAAAATAAAATTTTGTAAAATAAAATTTTATAATTTTTCGAGGGTAAACTGGATTTGTTCAATTGTATTTAACGGACGATGGAAGTTCTGTCTAAATAACTTTAGACCATTTTTTAAAGATACTTTAAGCCTTGGCGCACTTTTAAAATTCATGGACAATTTAAGAAAATACGAGGTTTTCCAAAAATCGAAACATATTCTTTTTGATATGGAATGAATTCCAAAATTCTGTTTAGGAAATTATGAACAACGTTGGTGGTAACGAACAACGGACTTTTTATCATAAACATTAATCGTTATCGGTATCAGGAAAACCCAAGAGTTATCATCGAAAAAGTCAAACAAGATTTAATCTGAATGTCTGGCGTGATATTTTCCATAAACAAATAATTGGACCATTTTTGACACACTTTACTCTAAATTAGAAAAATATTATTAATTAACCCATTAAAAACCTTTTGTAAGAAAGGTCACTTGCAGGTCTAACAGCGCGTATTTTCAGCAAGATGGACCTACTTTTCACATCGTAAGAACAAATGTTATGTTACCTGTGGATTCCTTCATGTTTTGTCCTATTTCACACAAAGACAAACACAGAAAAAACATTTGTCCCAAACTAAACACTTCTAATTAACTTCAGTTTGACATATTAGTGAGGCTGGAAAAAACCCACATAGGGGTTTATTTATATTATCGACTGAAAATGGATTTTAAATTGAGTTTTTTGGCACACCTTATGTCAAACACAAGTAAAAATTAATGGTCATTAAGAAATGGTTCGCTTCCAGTCGCCTGTCCAAGCAAAGATAATTTCACTCGTTGCTAAGCAGATGTTCATTTAAATTTAAATGTTGCTCCAAAATGCCAACAGATGCTCTATTTATAATAACATTACAGCACTTTAGTCAGTTAAAAATGATATACACTCTTCTGCCAAAAACTGAAATTTGATTTAAATGCAACTAATGCTTTTCACGTTTTGAATATTGTTTTTTAATGACAAGAAACAACACAGTTTCGTTTTTAAGATAATTGTTTCCGCTTGGTAGCACTGCTACTTACAACGCAAGACAACAACTTAAAATCACTTTAACATCACTATTTAAACATAGCGAAGGACGTCGTGGTGTTAAATCAAAAAGTTATGGCCCACCAAATGTTTTACCTATTCAGGCGAAAGATGAGTTAGTTAAGCGTTTACGAACCATGGAAAACATGGATTTGACATATACAGAAGGGAAATTTAGTCAGTTACTAGTTAAAAATTGCATACCGCCGAAGGTCTGTGTGGTCTACACCTAAAAACACAGAATTATCTCAAAGAAAATGTAACCATATGTTTGTAATTAATGACTTCTATAAATTAGGAGAAATTTAAGTGTTGCACACAGATCTTATCTGATATGAAATTTAGATTGAAACCAATTCTGCTCAAATTTTACAAAAACGAAAACTGTAAAAACTATAAGTGGAAAATAGATAAGTGGGACTTGACGACGAGAAATTCGTCACAAGGAAACTAGTCTGAAGCAATATGATTATGATTGCGCTAGGAATAAGATATGCTGCCACTGTTAATACGTTGAAAGTCATCAGATTTGTTATTATCTTTAAATTTTCTCAGAACCACTCACACTGATCTTGACTATTATTCACTGATTTGCAGGCAAGAAAATCGCTTAAAACTGGATAGGATCAAGCTTTAGTGACTTGGCAAAAATAGTCATTAAATCGTTGGTGGGGACGATTAGATAACTTTTGATTCGCATTTTACCCTCTACACGATATTCCTAATAAACATATTAAATATATAATTTGAGAGCAATATGTCTAATAAAAATCGATAGACTCCATTTGTCATTAAATTTTAAATCTCTTAAAGTACTACAGCAAAAGTGTTCGATTCGCACACTCTCAGATTACTGCATGACCGAATGAAAACTATCGAGCATGGCAATCTCTGGTTAGCGGAAATCAAGTTTTTAATTTGCCACCAAGTGAATCTGCAAATATAAAAGTAATCATTTATAAACTCTAGTCGTATTTGAATCTGTAAGATTATATTTTAACATAATTATATCAATTATTGCTTTATTATTTTCTCTATTCCTACTTAGTTTCCAAAATAAAAATAAAATTACACATATAAATTCGAGCCGTTCTAGACGAGACGGTCGTCACACTAACAGTAACGACACACATTGTCCCGATAAGACCCAATAAAAAATAAAGTTTACGTGTTACGATAAAATAATGACGCTCATTGCTTAAATAAATTGCAATATTTACTTTTGAAGCAAAGGTTCTATTCTTGCGAACTCAAGTATTACTCATGTTGTAAATATTATAAAATTTGGATGAAACACCGCTGACAAAATTTATATGCATATGTAAAAATGACATAGTGTTACACGGAACACACAGCTTCTACGAAACGAATAAAAATTTACCCGACGCTACAAAATCTTTCCTCGAATTTGACACGATTTTGTTATAAAACTGAGTAGGAATCATTTGAAACAACTTTAAGAATTCAAAAGTTGACATTTTAAAACAAATATAAAGCGAGATTTGGCAGATGCATGATAATGGTGAAAAAAAATCATATTATACAACAAGTGGACAAAGAACCGCGGGATTAAATGAGGTAGAACGGGAAAAAAAGAAGACGTGAAAAAACAGACAGAGATATATGATAGTGTGCGAAAGTCTGCCTAGTGCATGAGATAACTTTTTTTAATGAAACCAAGCCAAGTGTTCTTTCAATTGTGTCTTGTCCTGTGAATTGTAGTTTTTCGTTTCCGGAATAAAGCACTTCTTAACAACTGCACACATATCTGGTGATAATTTAAATTTGGCGTCGAAGTAGGCCGTGCGAAACGTAATATTCAGTTTAACAATTTTGGGTTATTTATGAACGTCTCCAGTATTATTACATGGTACATAACAATATAAACGAGTGAACTTTTAATAACGAAACGTATCACTTAAGAAAAATTAAAATTTTGTCATACAGCGCTGAAAATTTTAAATTTAGAAAATGGAGAGCTTTTCGAACATTTATTCTAAAATTGTTTTTTAAATGTTAATTTGATCTTTTTTCGATAATGTAATTTTTTATTTAAATTTTTCAAAAAGTTTTTAGAACAATGTATTACTATTTACAATCATTAAATCGGGGTATTGTTATTTCTAGGATATTTTATCAATTATTTGGAAACAGCATTTAAATCAATCTGTTATTCTGGAACCTTTATCTCAGTTTAGGCAGTGTCGGACTGAGGACATGGGGTCCACCGTGAAATTTACAAAATGGGACCCTGTAGAATTTTGATGACGCTACTAATTATTTTGAAAGAACTTCCCTTATAAAATTTGATTTTGCGATTTTCGTTTTGTGATAACTGTTAACTTCTATAAAGTGGCGTAATGAACATCCTCCTGCTTCTTTAAATATGAAATATATTTAAAGCAGATAACTAACGGGAAAAAATATAGACATTCTCAATTTCTCAGTATATGGTTAACTTCGACTGTTTATGTTTTTACTTCGACCGAATTCGACCTTTAGCACGTTCAGATTACAAGCATCTGCGGTTAAAAGAAAATGAAATTTCTCAACGCAGAGAAAAGGACATAAAACAATTGTAAAATATCTTCATGATTTCACAGCATTCGGTTTTTGCAATTTCAAAGTTAAATTGTAAAATACAATTTTGAATTTTGTCCCAAAAATCTGGATGTTTAGGGTGAAAACTCGACACGAATTCATGAATCACACATGCAGGAGTACGCAATCCTATAAAATTAAATATATATAATACTAAAAAAGAGGCAAATTAGTAGTACGTAAAATGGTACGTTTAACCCCACAAGAGGTTGTTTTTATTTTTTGTAAAAATCTCAAAATCAGCAGCTTTTGTACGGATTCGCTGGAATCATGGTCAAAATTTTGAGAAATCCACAACTTTTTAAAATATAACCCTAAAAATGGGGTGAAATGTTAAAGAATAGAAAGATAAAACTAATAGTAGCATTACCGAATTTACCACAAATAAATCTAGTTTTCCATGAAATTTAGTTTTATTTTATGGTATAACACGATAAAACTACCTACAACATGAATATCAATTTTTTATCAACAATCAGTTTTTTTAATTTGTTAGGCAATATAATACATATTCATTTCACATCATTGTATTCAGAAAACAATAACCTTTTCAAGAAAAAGTAATTGTCTCCATTGCTGCCATCAATTATATAGCTGTTTCAGGTAATACTTTAACTTAAATTTTTTAGTATGTCAGTACCTCTTCAAACGTTATAAACGGACTCTGTAAAACTGTTACAGTCTGGAAAATATCCAGTGAAACCCTATTTATATGACTATCGAACCATTGCGAGTACACTGTCTATTGTTTTCAAAGGACATCCGCAACAACGCTAGTTGACCATATTACGATTTTAGACGACGCTGACGCGTACATAAAAAATCGGCTTAAATATAAATGGAATTCTAAGAAAAATCATACCAGCTGTTTCAAAGCCAAACAACATTATTTACGATAAAGGTACACCACACTAGGTGTGACTAACGTATATGTAATTTTACAGCTTCTTTACATGAATATTTGTACCAACAATTAAAAATTCCCCATCGTTTTCCTTGACTTAACAGAAAAACACTAATCATAAAAAATTGTTATGGTAGTTGTAACTACCGTTGTCATAAATTATTTACACCGGCTGGAGTTTTCAACTTTTGTGTTAAAACAACCTTAACAGCAAACAATAACCATACGCCCACCCTCCACCTCACAATTTAAACCAATCTCCGCCTGCAAATTTTCCCCTACGTTTTTGATATGCATAACGCAAGATAAAACTTTACATATTTTTATCAAATAATGCAAACGGTAATGTTATCACAACGTGACTGTACCATGTTAATTTATCATCAAACAACAAACTCCAGCATAAAAATTCTAAACAAATAAAGCGGCATTTTAAGATCTTTGAAATATTTGTTACATACTTCGATAAGCCACTGGACCAGCTGTACAAAAGGCAAGTGCACGGACGCATCCCTCACTTTCTTGATGACCAAAACCGTAAGGGGCGGTTTGTACCATGTCAATCTCTGGCTGGCCGGATCCTGGATCGTCCTGGAAAGAAAATAAACCATTTCAAGGTTACTGTAATAATCAATTCATCGATTACCAATTAAAATCCAGCGTTTGCGTCACGTTTGTTTTAGATACTAAGTTAATAAATTTAAAGAAAAAACAAACCTGTATTGATATTTCTTGTTCCTAACGTCACAGTTATTGTTGATTTCGTTCTCGTCGTCGAAAAGGCCGCAAATCACGTTACCGTTCGCCACCATTTTCAAAATTTTGCAAATTTTTAACACCAACGCGAATATCACAGTCTGAAAATACGATTGCGGGATAAAAAAAAGGGACTTGACGACGAGCTACATGTAAGTAGAGCGACGATATTTAAAAAAGATTATTTTTCGCGAAATCATTTTGACTCTGAATTCCGAAATTTCGGCAAAATTCGTGCACGTAAACACAATGCAACCGCCTCGCGACGATGACTGTGGAGATATGGTAATAAAATTTGAGTGATGTTCGCACGCACGAGTCGCCTGTCGAGTGACCTCCGGCGATATCGATAAAAAATTAAACTATCCAGGGTCGGATTAAGGCGATCGAAATTGACAGACCGTTCGGAAAAAATACATTATATGGATGAACAACTGTTGCTCGAATTGCGTACGGTCGGGTTTTGGTGGGAGCGGATGAGTTTGCACATTGATAATAAAGCTAGGTGCAAATTATATTTACTATTTTTGTTTATCTGCGTTTAAACGATGGAGGGTTTTTCATGTTCCGATAAATGACTACACAATTTTCGGCTGTCGCATCGAGCAGTTTATTTTTCTAGAATAAATACGGTTATTGTTTGTGTACACAATCACTCGTATCAAATGTGACTTCCGCCGTTTGTTTATTTATTTTTCACTTAGTTGTTTCCATTTTTAAGTTGTATTCGGCTTCTTGTAAATTCTTCTGATTTATATATAATTTTGGTATCAGACAATCGATACCGATATTAATGTGGTGGATGGTGTTATCATAAGTACATGTGTATAAAATTATTCAGATAATGAGATAAAATCCCAACAATAATTAATAGCTATTTATTTTGCTCTTTTAGAACAAGGTTACACAAACCTTTTCTGTACACGATTCGTTTTAAGCAAATCACGTACGATAAAACCTAAATGTATTTACGTGTGAACGAACGTAATAGGCAATTGTTGTAAATGTACGTAAGAAATAAACGTACTGCACTAATTAACTATGAAACATTTTAGTACACAAATCGTAAACTAAATTATAGCCCATTATTATGGTACTTACTATATTAATTATTCCTTACAAGTACAAAAATCTCCTTTGAAACTCTACTAACACATTCTTTACGTGTGAAATTTTACACACTGCTTTATACATGATTATTTATTTCTATTTCCACGCCTTTGTCATAATGTTATTTGTTTACTCAAAATTTCCTTCGTCTCTATGTGTTTTGTTTTCTGAAATAAAAGAAAAAATTGGTCCAAGGTTAATTGGACACAACTTCCCTCGCCCCTGAAGACCAGCACAACATATTCAGCTTTTTCGAAAAATACAGATAAAATTTGATTTTGCAAATTTTATTTTTTTGATGATGACCCCTACAAATTAAATTAAACATATGTTAAAGTAAAGGTAAAGAAGCACGCTAAAAATTGTTATAACGTCATCAACATTTTAGCAAGGACATCAATTAGGATAGATGCAGTGTAATACTAACAATAACAGTACTGTATTTCTAAACTTTCGGCAAAATAGGATGAATCGTTCTAGATCTGATCAATAAAATACATTGCCTTATTCATAAACCTTTTTGAGTCATCTTGTTTACAGCGTTTGCAAGATTTCACACCATTCGGTTTTACAGGTTCAAAGTGAAATAATTATAAAATGTTGTTATAGAACTTTGATTTTTTTCCGGGTGTCTAGGGAAAAAACTGGTCGAAGGTTATTCCGACAAAACTTCCCTCGCCCAACAAGTCCTGCTTCTTGGAAAAATTATAAACATTTTTTGCGATTTTTGTTTTCTGATAACCTTTATAAAGTTAATAGGTACCAGTGACGTAAATAACACTTCCGCAGTTTTTTTGACTTGCATTTTTCAATTCTTCAATTTTTATTTTTTTTGTTTCTTCACTTTTTCGATTTGTATTTTCTCGAATTTCCAAATTAATTTTTTTCAGTTTTTCCATTTTTCAAGTTCTGAATTGTTCAATTGTGTAGTTCAGTTTTTTATTTTCTTTATTTTTGCAACTTTTCGATTTTTCAATAATCCGATCTTATAATTTTTTGTTTTGTCAATTTCAATGTTTTCAATTTATCGTTACTTCCAATTTTCGATTTGCAATTTTTCAATTTTCCATTTTTTTTTTGGTTCTTCAATTTTACGACTCTTCGAGTTCTGATTTAAAAATTTTTCAATTTTTAAATTTTCAAACTTTTGGACTTCTAATTTTTAGAATTTGCAATTTCACGAGTTTTCAGTTTTTAATGTTTCGATTTTTAAATTTTTCAATTTTTCATATCTTCAATTTTTCGAATTGCAATTTTTAGTTTAGGTTTTTTGTTTTCTTTATTGTTTTTCAACTTTTGGATTTTTCAGTTTTTAATTTTTGATTTTTAAAATTTCCAATTTTTCAAATTCGTGTTTTCATTTTAAAATTTTTCAATTTTTAATTTTCCAACATTTGGACGTTCCAGTTTTTAGAATTTACAATTTTTCGATTTGCTATTTCAGGAGTTTTCAGTTTTTAATGTTTCGATTTCTAAATTTTTCAATTTTACATTTCTTCAATTTTTCGAATTGTAATTTTTAGTTTCGGTTTTTTATTTTCTTTATTGTTTTTCAATTTTTGGATTTTTCAATATATCGTTTGCCATTTTTCGGTTTTACAACTTTACGATTTTTTAATTTTTCGTTTTTTCAATTTTAGATTTATTTTAGAAATCGGAAAATCCGATAATTCAGAAATCCAAAAATTTCAAAATTGAAAAATTCAAAATTAGAAATTCGACGAATTAAAAAATCAGAGATTGAAAATTTGAAGAATTTCACAAATTCAACATATAAAATCTGAAGAAACATTGAAAAAATAAAGGAAACGAAAAAAACATAAAATCTAAAAAATGGAAATTAAAAAATCGGCAAAATGAAAAATAAAAGTCAAGAACTCGGATAATTGAGGAAACGAAAAATTGACAAATCGAAAAATTTAAAATTGAGAAACTGAAAATTCGTAAAATCAAAAAATTTCAAAATTGAAACATTGCAAATCGAAAAATTGAAGAAACGAAAAACGAAAAGTTGTGATATCAAAAAATTGTAAAATCGAAGAAAAAGAAAAATCGAAAAATTGTACTATCAAAAAATTGATCGAAGGTAGATAAATCCAGATTTTTCCAAAAATTTTAGTTTTATCAATTTTAGATTTTTCAGTTTCTTGATTTTTCATTTGATTTGCAACTTTTCTAGTTTACCTTTTAAATATGTAATAATAATTACGGTTTTTTAAAATTTGCTACTTGTTCAAATTTATAATTTTGAATTATTCTATTTTTCGATTGTCGAATTTTAAAACTTTTTCATTTATTCGATTTTTCAATTTATCGATTTTTATTTCTCGATATCTCATTTTTCAGTTTTGACGCCTCTATAATTTTTCGATTTTACAATTTTTCGGTATTCCAATTTTTTGATTCGATCCGTTTTTTCTTTCCAGTTTTTTAATCCATTAAGTTTTTCGATTTTTAAGTTTTTCACTGTTTCAATTCTTCGTTTTTTCAGTTCTTCGATTTGCAATTTTTCGATTTTTTACTTTTTCTATTTTTTAAATTCTCGTCTTTCAAATTTTTTCCGATTTTTTTGTTTTTCGATTTTTAATTTTTTGAATCAAAAAAAAAGGAAGAACTGAAAAATTGTAAAATTGAAAAACCAAATATGAAAGAACGAAAAAGTATAAAATGAAAATTTTGAAAAATCTAAAAATTGAAAATCAAGAACTTGAAAAATTGAAGAATCGAAAGATTGAAAAATCGAAAAAACAAAATATTATAAAATATGTAGAAATATTGAAAATTAAAGAATTCGGAAAATCGGATAATTCAGGAATCCAAAAATTGCAAAATCGAAAAATTTCAAAATTAGAAATTCGACGAATTATAAAATCTAAAGAAACACTGAAAAAAGGAAATGAAAAGAAACATAAAATCGAGAAAATGGAAATTGAAAAATCGGGAAAATGAAAAATAAAAATGAAGAACTCGAAGAAATGAGGGAACGAAAAATTTAAAACTGAGAAACTGAAAAATCGTAAAATCCAAAAATTCCAAAATTGAAAAATTGCAAATAGAAAAATTGAAGAAACGAAAAACTGAAACCATAAAAGTTGAAAAAACAAAAAATTATGAAACCGAAACATTGAAAACGAAAAAATTGAAAAAATAAAGGAAATCAAAAAATTGATCGAAGGTAAATAAATCCAGATTTTTCGAAAAATTGAAAACATTTTTTAATTTTGTACTAGATCGATTTGCCATTTTTCGGTTTTTCAACTTTTCGATTTTTTAATTTCTCGTTTCTCTCAATTTTAGATTTATTTTAGCAATTGGAAAATCTGAGAGTGCAGAAATCCAAAAATTGAAAAATTGAAAAATTTCAAAATTCGACGAATTAAAAAATCAAAAATTGAACATTTGAGCATTTTTTGACTTGAATTTTTCAATTCTTCGATTTTTATTTTTTTTTTGTTTCTTCAGTTTTCCGATTTGTTTTTTTGTCTAGTTTTCAAATTAAAATTTGTCAGTTTTTCAATTTCTGAAATTTTCAATGTTTCGTTTCGGTTGTTTATTTTCTTTATTTTTAGAACTTTTTGATTTTTCAATAATCCGATTTTATAATTTTCTGTTTTATCAATTTCAGTGTTTCCGATTTATCGTTTCTTCCAATTTTCTATTTGCAATTATTCAATTTTCCATTTTTTTTCTTCAATTTTACGTTACTGTTCGAATTTTCACTTTAA